GACTGCAGGCGAGCAGTCCAGGAGGCTGCTCTTGCCAATGCCGATCGGAGGCAGGGGCTGCCGCTGCAGCTCCTGCTCAAGGTCGTGGGAACAGGCTATTTCTGGCCTGTTCCTGARACCCTGTTTCCGTGCCTGAGTCTTAGGGGCGGTTGAAACAATGAGGGCCTGAAAATGGCCCTCGGTTTCAGGCTGGAAAAACTCTGGGTCTGAAACACCCAGAAATAGGCTGAAACGGAGTAGGGCCTGCAGGCCCTCGTTTTTCAGCTTTCAGGCTGAAACGACCGGGGCCTGTAAGCCCTAAGTTTTAGGCTTTCAGGCTGAATGTCCGGGACGGGCCCTGCAGGGCCCGTGTGGCTACGCAGTATGCCACAATCAATCACCAAGCACTGATCTTGAACCTGAGAGACCCTGTAATGGTATTCAGCACTGAGCACTAAGCATTGACAATTGAGCACCCAATGCAGCACCAGTCACCAAACACTGACCCCAAACCCGACAGACCCTGTGGCAGCAGTGGAAACTGAGTACTGAGCATTGAGCACTGAGCATTACATACAGCAATGAGCATCACTCACCAAACACAGACGCTTAACCCGACAGACCCTGCATTTGGCACTGAGCATCGAGCATTCAGCCACCCGCACCTCCCAATGATTTGCCTGTTAAACCACCAGTACTTGGCCCAGCTATTGATGCCGAGCCAGGTTTTGTTGAACCACTGGGGCACCGTTTCATTTTCCTTTTGGCTGGCGCCTCCAGCCATTGTGGTCCGGTACCCCGAAGCCCGCAGGTCGCAGCGCATTAACGTGAAATGCCCGCGGCCAATAGCTGGGCCAAGTACTGGTGGTTTAACCAGCAAGCTGCCGACACCAGCCAATTTTGTGGAGGCACACAATCTAGAATACCGCGTGGGCAAGTCCTTCGGAACGTCCATTAAAAGAATGGAACGATACAGAGAAAATTTGCATGGCCCCTGCGCAACGATGACACACATAAAAGTCATAAATGGTCCCCAGGGCCCAGGCCATAATGTGGCGAAGCGTTGAGTGATGTCCTCATGTAAATTTCTGGCTTGCTGGCGGAATAGGAAGCGGACTGTCGCTCCCCAGAATAGAAGGAACTCATCCCAGCTGCGCCCACCTTTGTTTAAATAAAAAAACAAAACAAAAAAAAACATGCGGGCCTCCATAAAATCCGCTGAACTTGCTGGTTAATGAAGGATCAAGTGGAGGTACTGGTGGTTTAGACCACCAGTGCCCCCGATGCTTCCCCTGTGCTGCACCTGTGTACAAGGGGGACCATGGAGCAGTTTGGTAGAGGCATAGAGGAGCCTCTGGACCACCGCACAAACAAACCATGGCCACTAACGCTCACTGTCAAACCACAGATCACGGCCGCAAGAGTGTTGTCGCGAAACGCAAAATTAAGCTCATGCCACGAAGAGCCTCAGGTTTGCCAAGTCAAGGTTGGGCAAAAGACAGGTTCAGGACAATAGGTTCAGGGGCAGCGGTGGTGGTTTACACCGCCAGTACCTCCTGAGAAATCGGGCCAGCCCTCGCAGACACAGAGGGAGGGGAGGGGGGGGTTGGCCATTGGACAAGAAATCTCCATTGGATCAACTGAAAAAGGGCAGGCTTTCTGGTAACCAGGGTGGTCCGAAACAGTACGGGCGGTTATGCGCCAAGCACTGGAGGTTTGACTGAGCAGGGACCATCAAGCAGTCATCATTAGACCTGAGTGAGTATTGTTATTTCTGTTCTCCAACTTTGGCGAAAGGGGAAAGGACTTCGGGGCTTGGAGCATCTGAACTTCAGGCTTCTGGCAATGCATCAGTCTTTCCCAAAATCCCCCTGGCCTCCATTGTGCCCTGCTACCAAATGAAAAGAGAAAAAACAAACAAGACAGAAGTGATATTTTACCAAGTACACAACCATACAAGCTAGCTATGGAGGAGTGATGCAAAAACTGCCGCGTTGAAAAAGGTGTTAGTTAATTCCTTGCTGTCTTGGCAGAACAAGAACAGACCTGCTGCCTCTTCTGCTTTTGAAAAATGGTTTTTATCATCAACTTTTATGGCCATGAGATTCCCCAGAACAGTCATCTTTTACCAAACTCATCCTCATCCTGCCTTTTTTTTTTGTTCAGTAGACTCATCAGCTACCTGATACTCGTGCACCTCTCTCTTCGTTTATAAGTGCGGCTGGCAGAGCTGTGGATACGACCGAGAAGGACATCCATTCACAACATCACATGCAATGAACCCCCTATTATGAAGTTTCAACCGATAATCTCAGACTACATTCTCCCCCAATACAACTCACTCTCATCATGACGGTGTGAGACCTGAAAGATATCTTTTGTGTACATTGATAATCCCGGTGCTTTTTGTTCGGGAGAAGACAGTAGGAATGGGTAAGAAGTTGCAAACACAAGATTCCCCCTTCGCCTTCGCCTCCACCTCCATCACCTGCTCTTAATACTCCTCCTCAGGGTCTCCTTCTCTTCCTTGCTTTTCTTTTCTGTTGTGCACTCTCTTTGGAAAACAAGGCATTCACTCACTCAACCGTGGTAAATATCCTCAAGGGTTCTCTCCTAGTTTTTTTTGCTTTCTAAGTTCCCGATCCTGAAGTTTTTTACTAAGGCTAAAAATCTCTGAAGCTCATGCGTGGATCCTCCGGCTTGCCCGACCTGCCTCGTCCTCTCCCTCGGCCCCTGCCCCTTCCCCTACCCCGGCCACCTCTCCCCCTTCCACCCATCCGTTTGATTGCAGACTTCCCGTACTTCATCTCCACCAATGACGTCAAAAACTCGTCACAAATCACGCACCCCTTGTACAATGTGTTTCCGTCTTGAAGTGGAGTCAAGTTCTTGTGGAAATTGACCTCGAGGAGGGCAGAGCCACACTCGTCGCATTTCTCCTCTGCGACCGCCACCTTGTGTGCATTCTCGGGCAGATATACGAGACAATTGCAGCGGCTGCAGTCGAGACGCCATTTCGGTGCACTTACCGGGTCCAGAACAAGAGTGCCGTCGCATTCTGGGCAGCCACACACACCCTGCTTAACCATGGAGTGTCGACAGGTGGGATGTGGGCACATGGTACAGGGCATCCCACCCCTTACATTTTTTGGGGCAGTTTGAGTAGCCCCCGGGTCCCGGCCAGCAGCTCGTCCAGTGCCTGGTCTACCGGTTACCACCCCAAGAGACAGCGTCTCAACACCTTCAAATGGGGGTGAGTTGTAACAGTATGGGCAGAGTGGAAACGTCTTACCATCTTCTCCAGACAGCGAAAATAGTACAAGCTCAAAATTGTCCAGAGGGCATGTCAATTCCTTGTAAAGCTGGTTCAAACAACAACAGCTCATCAGCAGAGGGCATGTCAGAACCATGCTTTGCCATTCTGATTGCCATACAGCAGAAAGCACAGCCACAAACACCACCTTTCCTGCATACTGCACAGCAGCTAACACCCTCTAAGACACAGAGAGCACCACCGGAAGCACCTTCTGGCATTCTGGTTGCTTTACAGCGTTTACACGCCCTCTTCCCCTTCCCCCCGTCCCTCCCACTTTTTCCCCACTGGTACACACTGTCACCACCTTTCAAGTTGCTTAGACAGAGATTCATTCAGTTCAAAGTGTAAGAAGGTTCCAAGACACATGGATTTGGCAGCAAAGATACGTTATGTGACTGGTAAGCATCAGTGTTGACACCCAGCCTCGCGTGGCTGTATGGAGCAGAATGCAGCCAAGCAACTTACCGCAACTGTACTACACACCGATTGAAAAGTGGATTTGCACCTTATGCATTGACCAGAACCTCATTCTGCCCTTTATGTGCCTTGGAGTTCCCTCGGGATTTGAACCTGCTTTGAATTTTGGTAGAGTTTAAAACCTGCTTTGGAAGGGTGTAAGGTAGCTAGCTTAGGGTGTCTCGGTCTCACAAGACCTGTACCCCGTTCGCCAGGCAGAAGAACAGCATGATAATACGGCTGTTGACATTGCTTCAATAGTTTTTACCTGGCCATATAGGGCATGCAGGTTGACTCCACCGGCACTGCATGCATAGAGAAGTGCAATGAACTTGCAGATTATCAGCGGGTTGTACAAGTAACAGGGTCACTTTTGTAAATTTTCTCAGTTTTCCATCCGAACTGGTAACTGTAACAGGCCCAGTTCCTACGAGGACCTTTCCGCAAATTACTAAATTCCCAGGCTTGAAGTCATTCCAACTGCAGCCTGGTGGTAGTGTTACTGGAAATTGCAGGCCTGTTTGTGAGTCGAGTCCTAGGTCCTAGAGGTCCGAGAGTCCAGTAGGTAGTAGAGAGTCTAGAAATAGGTTGCGCCAGAAGTAGGATGGGTTCTTTCGACAATGATTCATTCTGCAGGTGGATATGCGCTGTTTGGATGCTGAGGTTCACAATGCCATAGCTGAGAGAAGCTGCGCCATAGCTGGGGCCGTAGCAGGGATGAATAAGCAGTGCTGAGCATTGGCTCCAAGTGCTGAAATGGCAACACGATAGCTGTGCTGTTGGGGTTAGGTGCCGCCACTACTACTTTGTGGCAGCTGTGATGACCTGACCAAACATGGGACTGAAACACACGGCTGATTTCTGAGTTTTGCTACTAAGTCTGTGTGTGTGCACGCTTGCTGGACTGCATGTCTGTCTGAGTGCTGGTTGGCTTGAGTGTGTGTGTGGCCCGTAAGGGCACTTGTTCGTTCGTTGGGCCCTCAGGGCCGGTACTTACCGTGGCCGTGGCCTTGAGGATTGCAGCGGGGGAGAACACTCAAGTGGCGGGGAAAGAGGCCCGCAGCACTTGAAGCAGCGGGGAAACACTCAAGTAGTAGGTAGGCCGGTACCACACCCTGAAGCGGTAGATGTGCCAGGTACTGGAGGCCGAGCAGAAGAAGACAAAATCGGCATTTTTAGAGGCCCAGTAGTTGTAGGCTAGGTCTAGGCAGGTACCAGTCTGAGTTTAGGGCCTGTACGGGCAATATCAGAGTCTGCAATGATGTTTCCCTCCGAAAGGGAGGAGGTACCGGTTGCTTGGGAGGCCGAGTGGCCTGGAAGTCACCGCCCGAGAGGCAAGCAGGCCGCTATATCTCCAGGCTGGGCGAAGAGCCCAGCCTCATTGTCGGTGTGCAAGTTTGGCGACAGACTGGTTGGAGCGCTGGCTGGAGCAGCACTAGCTTGAAGCAGCACTGCTGGGGAAGAAGCAAGGTGTAACGAGCGCGTGGCTGAGGGAGACAGGGAGAGCTGAGGGAGAGGGGAGAGAGAGGGAGAGTGTGAGAGCACACACACACACTCACTCACTTGACACGACTGAGGGTCGGATGCAGACACAGTGGCAAGGACACAAAGTCGAAGTCTTGGATTCCGAATGCCGAAAACAGGAGCAAGTCACACAGAGTCCGAGTACAGCAGCTGAAACTGGTACGAGACTGGTTGCCCGTACTGTACGGGGAACCGGTATAAGTGTCGGTGACACGTACGGTACCAGGGGCATCTCTGCAAAAGCCCTGAGGGCAGAACTGAAAAATGCGGTATTTGAAAGTGGCGCCCAAATTGTAGCATGGCGCCAGTTGTCCAAAATCCTACGGTACCAAAGGAGGGGTTTGGAAAAAGGGTGCCAGGCCGAAAATGGGATGTAGCAAAAACAGCAACAAAATAGACCAGGGGTCGAGCCCTGGCGGAGTCCATAACACTATCCCCTCCCTCTGAAAGGCAACGTCCCGACTGCCAAAAACCTAAGGAAACAAAAAGGAACTGTGAAGGACGGGACAGGGCCGATCACTGGTCGGAAAAGGAGAAGGGGAGTGATGCAAGTCACAGGGTATTCTGTCAGATGTTCTGCACAGGTGAAGGTATGATGTAACTGGGTAGGTCTACAGGGGAAGCTAAGAAATGTTCAGGGAACAGGGGATTTCTATTGATGTTCTACTGGGTGAGGGGACACAATGTCCAGGAAAACAGGGAATTTCTATTGATGTTCTAGTGGGTAAGGGGAACAATGGTCAGGGAAACAGGGAATTTCTATTGATGTTCTAGTGAGTAAGGGAGACAATGGTTAGGGGAACAGGGATTTTCTAATGATGTTCTACAGGGTTGTCGGGAAAAATGGAAGTGTTTGTTCAGGATGCAGGGGCTGGTATGTCCGAAGGAGTAGGAAGCAAAATCTCATGTAGGAACAAAGTGTCCAAGTGTCTTGAAAGGGGATCTGCGGCGGTCTTGATCAGGTCTTGGAGTAGGTGGTAGAAGCGGTCCTCAGTGGCTGCGACAGGTAGAAGTCCAAGAAGCATAGCAGTAGTTCAAATGTCCAAAGTCCAAGTGCTAGGGTGCGTCCGGTACACGAACTGCAATGAGGTCTGATCTGGAAGCAAGGAAGTCGCAGACTGATGCAAAGATCCATGTCACAAGTTGCTGCTCCAGTAAGTTTGCGAGTCGGGATGCCGGCCGATGAAACAGCATGGTGGCCAAACCAGCTGCATAATCTCCATGATCAGTGAGGCAGCAGGCCATCGGCCGATGAAACAGCATGGTGGCCAAACCAGCTGCATAATCTCCATGATCAGTGAGGCAGCAGGCCATCGTCCTCGTGCGTTTGCCATTAGATCCTTTATCGCCGGCGTCACGCAGGTCCACAAGCATTGGACAAGAGAGACAAGGTAGTGGAGAGGACAGATGGGACAAGGCTAGGCGAGGGCAAGGGCAGATCAGACATCAGGAATCAGGGTCGAGGGGAGGGTGGGTTGGGTTCAAGCGTGTGTGTAGAGCAGGGTTGCGAGGTTGTAACAGGGTTTTAAGCGAGGGTTTAGGGTTTATGCCGGGGTATAGTTAGGATACAGGGTAGGCACGATCATAGGCACGAACAAGTTTCATGGCATTCTTGAGATTATCAAAGGGTTCCCATGTTGATTCTTCATCAGGGTATCCGGTCCATTTTACTTTGTATTCGGTGATTGGTTCCGGGTGATGTGATACTTGAGTTGTTCTTCGTCCTATGATTGATTCGACTATGAATTTTGGGCCTGTTGGAAGCATGATTGGTGGAGGTTTAGGATAAGGGCGGTCAGCGAACTGGGGCGGGGATTCGTGGTATTCCTTGAGGTATTCTACGTGGAAGACTGGGTGGACGCGACGCATGTCAGGTGGAAGCTGAAGTTTGTAACTCACGGGAGAGGTTTGTTCAATCATGGGGAAGGGACCGAGCCACTTGTTCGAGAGTTTCTTGTACAAGCCTTGTTCGGGTTCAAAGCGTTTGGCAGAAAGCCAGACTTTGTCCCCTACTTTGAATGACACGTCACGTCTGTGTTTGTTAGTCTTGTTTGCTTGTTGTCCTTGTGTTCTTTCAAGGGCTTCGATTGCTTCTCTAAGGAGTCTGTTCATTGTTGCTACCCATTCATTGAGAGAGGGGCAAGGGGTGGAGGGCTGAGCTGCGAGGGAAGCAAGAAATCAGAGGGCAAGCGGGGATGGTAGCCAAGGTCGAGGTAGGAAGGGGACATGCCAGTGGAGGGGCAAACAGCGTTGTTGTAGGCAATCTCGGTGGTTGTGAGCAATTGATCCCAGTCATGTTGGTGTGGATGATAATACTTCCGCAGAATTGTTTGGAGAGTACCGTTCATCTTCTTGGTCTAGCCATCGGTCTGGGGGTGGAATGGAGTGCTATACTTGAGCGTGGTTCCGTAGGCTTGGAAGAAGTGTTTCCAGAACCGTGATAGGAAGCGGGGATCACGGTCACTGATGATGTTCTCGGGGAGACCGTGGTGGCGAGCGACATGATCGAGAAGAGTATGGCGATGTCTTTGGCATTGTGTGAGGTGGTACAAGGAATGAAGTGGGCGCGTTTGGTCATACGACAAACAATGATATAGATGCAATCATGCCCACGGTCGGTCTTGGGGAGACCGCACACGAAGTCCATGGAGATGGACTGCCACCGGTGGGTAGGGATGGGCAATGATTGGAGCTTGTCGGGCTTGGCCCGGTTCGATGGATTAACGGCCTAACAGGTGGGGCACGAGCGGATGTATGCTTTGACGTCAGCGAGTAGAGAAGGCCAATGGAAGTAGCGGGAGATGGTGTCGAAGGTTTTTTGGAAACCGAGATGGCCAGCGGTCTTGGCATCGTGGTGCTCGGCCAAGAGCTGGGTACGAAGACCACGTGCGTCAGGGATACAGAGTCGGCGAGTGCCCTTGGTGTCAATAGAGTAGATTGTCATGGAGAGACTGGTCAGGGACTGAGTCAAGGTTGTGGAGTTGGTAGTAAATGGAAGCGAAGTCTGGGCAAAAGAGGTAACCTTGGGTGTAGCGGCGATGTAACAAGGGAAGAAGTTGAATGTGG